TTCACAAGATATTTGTTAAATTACACTGTAATTTTTTAAGTATTGACGTTTTTCAAGGTATAAGCTCATCCCGATGTTACACTCGTTGAGACCTTTCATTTGAGTACCTACATCAATTTTTCATATATTTATATATATGTATATATGAAAAATATATCGATAATGCATGTTGGTACTCAAATGAAAGCTCTTGATGAGTGTAACATCGGGATGAGCTTATATCTTTAAAAATGTTAATAATTAAGAAATGGCCTTGTAACTTGTGAACTATTACCATTTTTAGAAATATAAGCTCATCCTGATGTTATACTCATCAAGACCTTTCATTTGAATACCCACATCAATTTTTCATATATTTATATATACTATATATATCATATATATGTATATATCAAAAATATATCAAAAATGCATGTGAGTACTCAAATGAAAGGTCTTGATGAGTGTAATGTCAGGGTAAGCTTATATCTTTAAAAATGTCAATAATTAAGAAATTACCTTGTATCTTGAGAAATATTGGCATTTTTAAAGATATAAGCTCACCCCAACATTACAATCACCGAGACCTTTCATTTGAGTACCCACATCAATTTTTCATATATTAATATATATTGTATATATGTATGTATGAAAAATATATCAAAATGCATGTGGGTACTCAAATGAAAGCTCTTGATGAGTGTAACATCGGGATGAGCTTATATCCTTAAAAATGTATTGATAAAAGTAATTTTTAATACAAATTTACAAGTTAAAAAATTATTTCTTCAGCTAAAAAATAAAATTTTTCAACAAATTAATTTCTTGTCACTAATTAATTTATTTTTAAATAAATTTTTTCTTTCAGTGTATTTTGTTACCCCTCCAATAAATCATTAAATAAATATCGGATTTCTCAATTAAAAAGAAAAAAAATGTCTTAATTAAAAAAAACCGTGCTTTAATAATCAAAGACTTACTTTACTAGTAAAAGTAGGTTCTTTAAAAGTTCCAAGTGGAAATCGTGGTAATTCATGTGGCATTGGCGCTCCAGGATAATCTAATTTACTACGTTTCAGTTCTTCCATATTACGTTCAACTGAAGTGATAACAGTGTCATCGTCAAAGCGAAAGTCTTTTTCCAATTTAGCTTGTAAATAGTTACAGAACTCATCGAGACTGTCTAACGGCATTAGATACCGTTTGTGAAGCTTCATTACCGTGTACGCCATCGCTGGTAGTATGCGATCCCCGTCTAACAGGAATATATCCCAAATACGAAGACCAAGACTAACCGGTGTCTAATCAGATAAACACAAAATTAATTACAACAATCTTATGATAACATACTTACATATAAATTATAAAAAAAAAAAAACTTACGCGTTCTTGAAATACAACAAAAAACCACTTTAACGCATAAAGCATCGAGTCACATCCGCATTTGTCTAATTTGCGTTTTAATTTCGGAAGAAATTTATTCATTATTTTATCATGGTGCTCAATAAATCGGTTTAATTTTGGAAACCCATCAATATAAAATCCTGAAAGGTTTTTTTGTTAATTAAAAATATTAATTAGCGTTAAAAATAAAATTTATTAATTAAAATGTATTGCGATGGTCATTAAATGGCACTTAGTTAATTATATCACAAAAAATGATAAAGCGGTTATTTATTTATTATTATTATTATTTAAGTAATTAAAATTTCCAAACCATGCATGCTGTACTTCTTATCTGCGAGTAGGATAGACAGTCCCCAAAAGGCATCTTCTTCATTCATGTATAATAACAATAGTCCGGCTAAAACTGACATTCCTTGACAGTATCCTACTTCCATGTTGTACATACTGTAAGCTGCTAGTACGTAAAACATTGATCTTTGTTTGATGCTATACCTCTCTCTGAAAATATTAATTTAGTTAATTAATAAGCTGAGGATTTACAAGGTAAAAAATTATTGGTGTGACAATTTTTATACATCAATAATGTTTGTGTAAGTTTCAGTGAAAAATTATTTCAGAAATAAAAATTTCATATCTAGACTGAGAAAAAATTTATTTTGAAAAAAATAGATAAGAAATTAATTTTATTTAAATTATTAACTGATGATATCAAAATTCTTCTCACAGTAATTTCCTTGTTAAAAAAATTTTTTAGTTAGACAACTTGAAAATTTTCATACAAAATTATTTTTTTTTAATCTAGAAAACATTTTTTCAATAAAACAAATTTATAAAAATTTTAAACAGATTTTGAATAAATAAAATTTTGCTTTATTAAATAATGATTGGTAAAATTGCACTGTACTTTCTTAACTATTGACATTTTTAAAGATATAAGCTCATCCCGATGTTACACTCATCAAGAGCTTTCATTTGAGTACCCACATGCATTTTTGATATATTTTTCATATATACATATATATAAATATATAAAATATATGAGAAAATGGTGTGGGTACTCAAATGAAAGGTCTCGATGAGTGTAACATCAGGATGAGCTTATATCTTTAAAAATGTCAATAGTTCTCAAGATACCAGGTCATTTCTTAATTATGTATCTAGAAATAGAGAATCTTCGAATGCAGCCGAAATATTTATCATAATAAATTTTTCTTATTCTCTTAATAATTTCTTATTATATTGCTCATTTTTTCCCAACCAAATTTCTTATCTCAGTGCAAAGTACATCATAAAAAAACAACAAAGGCCTGATAAAAACCTGTAGTCAATATGATCACGGTATTGTCGAGCAACATCAGCATCAATTTGTCGAATCTCAGTGGACCACTGCCTGGCAAGCTGCAGCATCTCCTCATATTTTCCAGCCTGTTCCTGTTTTAATGCCTGAATACCAAGTAATAGTGACCAAACTTGTCCTCTAAAACGATCCGGTATCCCTTTGTAAACCCTTCTTCTTAATTTTTCTTTGGTAACCGGACTTTCCCAATGTTTTGTCATTTTCTCCCACTTTTTTACTCGCTCCATTTCAACCTGATGCATTTTAATCTCGTTGGTCTCCAATTTACGTGGCAATCTTTTATCACTGTAATTTTAATACCCAAGATTAGTAATTTAATTTGCTCATTTAAAATTAGTCAGCTTTAATTTTTAACAATTTAAAAAGTTAGCAGTTTCTTGATCATTTTATAATTGTATTTAACAAAAAAATTAGTTCCAAAAAATTATTTTAAAAAAATTGCATTTTTAGTTTTTTAAAATTTCTAAATGTCAATTTTTATAATCATTTCTTTTTTTCATAATTTATTAAATTATAACTAAAAAATATTTTTAAAAAATTACACTTATTTTTTGAAGTTTTTAACAAATGAAAAAATTAAAAAAAAATTTTTTTTAAATAATTCTTTAATATAAAAAATCATAAAATTTTTTAGATGTCGGCTAATTTTATTTTCATAAAAAAAAAAAAATGAATTAAAATAAATTTAATTGTAGGACGTAATTGAATACTCACTGGATGAAACCATATCTATCTGTTGTATGATAAACTTCATACCCAGGATCTTCCCACGAATCAATCTGAGCACCATTCTCTCTACCACGATCGTAACAGCTGAATATTCTGTCCCGCTCAGCAGCGGATCGTTTTAATAGCTCTTCCTCATTCATCCCACAGTAATATTCACCAACGGTATTAGCACAAACATACCGGATTATTTACATATATATTACTATTAATAAATAAATACAAATACCTAAATAACTATTTATTTAAATAATAAATAAATATTCATTAAATAAAACTCGATGAGATTTTTATTGTCTTGCAGCTGGACTATTAATCACGACACCTGTTAACAAACAAACCATTATTTATAATTTATAATAATATTATAAATAAACAAATTTATCAATAAATTATCCTCAGTAAAGGTTAAAAGGTTATGATTGTTAAAAAATATATTAAATCACGTACTTATGTCACTAGCATCCTTTCATATTTATTTTTATTTATTATTTATCAATCACTTTTATTGTTGGTTTATCTTTATGCTTTTGAGGGTTGTCAATTGTGATAAAAAATATTTTTTCCGCTTATAATTATATCAGTTGTAGCAACAAAACTTAAATACAATTAAGGCCTTGGTCTTGCTCTTGCCAACTAAAACTGTTTTCTAACTTTCTTCACTTAATATTTATGCTACTGTGTAGTTTGTAGTATAGGTACCGAGTACTGTAAACTGAACTGTAGATTGTACATGGCTTTTTTTATATATTTATTATCAAGAATCAAGTGTGGCTGCTTCTGATGATGTTTAATGGGTGTATATATATATATATATATATATATATATATATATATATGTGTACTTTAATTTGTCGGTAAGGTAGAGCAGATTCAATCAAGATACTGAAGTTAGCTGACATTAAAAAAAATTATTATGAACATGAAGTTAGCTGACATTTCAAAATTTTTAGAAATTTTTGGGGTCATCTGAGTGATCCGAACGGAAATGTAGCCAATGTAATAATTGTAAAGAAATTCAAAAAGTAACTTGCTCTCTAACAAGTTATATACATTTAATACTTCTTACATAACACTTAATGTATGTCAAATAATAGTAAATTCTTTATAATAAAATACACACATTAAAACATTTAAATATCATATTTATGAAAAAAATTAAACTGTAACCGATGAAACATTACAAAAGAACGACAATTGATCTGTCTTCTAAGTCTTTTAAGTCATAAGTAAGAAATTAGTTGTAAATTTTTTTAGGTATTAACTGGCGGTGGAGGAAATTTAAATTATATAATTTAAATTCAAACACAACCTTTTTATTCTAAATAAGAATAATTCTTCTTGAAAATTTTTATTGTTTTTATTTATTAAAATATTTAAATATTGATTACTAAAATAAAACAAAAAATTGCTTATTTAATGGGAAATTATTTATTTTTCTTTATAAAGTAATTTTTTTTTTTTTTTTTTTAATTCTATAAAACAATTCTATTTTAATTCTATTAAAAACAAACTGTTCTTTAACTTGTTTCAGTTTAAACTATTATTTATTTATACACCTTCTTAACATTTATCAATAATTACGTTCTTGTCATATGAATATTATGAAACAAACAATTATTTTTTATATATATGTAACCTTTTTATTCTAAATAAGAATAATTCTTCTTGAAAATTTTTATTGTTTTTATTTATTAAAATATTTAAATATTGATTACTAAAATAAAACAAAAAATTGCTTATTTAATGGGAAATTATTTATTTTTCTTTATAAAGTAATTTTTTTTTTTTTTTTTTTTTAATTCTATAAAATATTAAAATCAAACTGTTTTTTATTTGTTTCAACTTAAATTATTATTTATTTATACACTTTCTCAAAATTTATCGATATTAAAGGAACAAAAACATCTTTTTTTTTTTTAATTTTTTAATATTTTTGGACTTACTAATTATATCTGATATTCCTATATTTTTTTATCTTTAATCTAAGTTTAAACGAATTATATTTAAATAAATAATTTTTTCTTCTTATGTTATTCTAATTACATATATATAAAAAATTATTGTTTGTTTTATAATATTCATATGACAAGAACGTAATTATTGATAAATGTTGAGAAGGTGTATAAATAAATAATAGTTTAAGCTGAAACAAGTTAAAGAACAGTTTTTTTTTAATATTTTATAGAATTAAAAAAAAAAAAATTACTTTATGAAGAAAAATAAATAATTTCCCATTAAATAAGCTAAGCGATTTTTTGTTTTATTTTAGTAATCAATATTTGTATATTTTAATAAATAAAAACAATAAATATTTTCAAGAATAATTATTCTTATTTAGAATAAAAAGGTTGTTTGAATTTAGATTATATAATTTAAATTTCCTTCACCGCCAGTTACCTAAAAAAATTTACCTTACTGACAACTAATTTCTTACTTATGACTCTTAGAAGACTTAGCAGACTTAGAAGACAGATCAATTGTCGTTCTTTTGTAATGTTTCATGGGTTACAGTTTAATTTTTTTCATAAATATGATATCTAAATGTTTTAATGTGTGTATTTTATTATATAGAATTTACTATTATTTGACATACATTAAGTGTTATGTATGAAGTATTAAATGTATATAACTTGTTAGAGAGCAAGTTACTTTTTGAATTTCTTTACAATTATTACATTGGCTACATTTCCGTTCGGATCACTCAGATGACCCCAAATTTTTTATTGAAAAAATTTAAATTAAACAATCAAAAAAAATAAAATTTATAATAATAAATTTAGTCGACATTGTTAATATTTTGATTTATTTTTTAATTACTAAATTTGAACTAAATAATAATTAAAAAAAAATTGTACTTATAGTTTTTTAAGTTTTTTATTAATGAAATTTTTCAAAAATTTTTTTAATGAAAAAAATTCTACAAATTTTTTAGATGTCGGCTAACTTAATTTTCATAAAAATTTCACATATGAAAAAACTTGAAAAAGCTTAAAAGTGCAATTTTTTATAAATATCTTTTTAGTTGTAATTTAATTAAAAAAAAAAAGAAAATGAAACGAAGTTGACGTAAATCTACGGCCAACAGTGAAAAAAAAAAAACAATTGTACAAGATCGGTTAATTTAAGAAAAATATAACTATTAAATATTTATATTTAAGTAAGCTCAAATGCCGTAACAGTGTCTACATTACAAGATCTATCGATTGAACTCATCTTCATCACACATCCTTATCATCTATTTATTTAAGAAAAAATATATTGGTTAAATTTTGTATTGAAATAATTAAAAAATTAATCTTAATTGAATTAAATTTTTTTTATTAAGTCTTAGTAAAGTCTTGAAAAAATATCAATATAAATATATCACTTTTTAGTGGTAACAATATCATAGTTAGGTACATAGAATTTTGTTTCATATTAGTGACATAACTAATAAAATAAATGATTAGAAGTATTAGCTTAAGTATAAAAAATTTTGTATTATTCATAAATAATATAATTGAAATTTGAAGTATAGCTTAAGTAAATAAAAAATTTAGTACATTCAGAAGAAGCAGCATGGTTACAATTTTAAATATCTTAATATATAAATTTTTACACTTTACCAGTATTTCTCAGTAATTTAAATATAAATCTAGCTAATCTAAACAAAAGAAAATCGAATATTAAATCTTTTTTTTTAATTTTTACATGTGGATTTTTTTATTTAATTTTTTTCATCATAATTTCATTGCTACAAAATTATAATAAAATTTATAATATCTGTCAACTTCAGAGTCATAAATACTTCCCTGTCAGGCTTTATTGTCATTGGAATATCTGAAGATTCCTGATGGATATTTAAATAATTAAATATTTAGATAATTTTTAATAATTAAATAATTAGATAATTTTTAATAAAACAATTAATAAAAAATTAATTCTTACATTACACATCGTAAATTCAGAATCTTTTAGACTCTCAACTTTAACATCCACCTGTTGAATAGAACGTGCTCTTCTTTTAGTAACAAAGTTTTTGTCCATTTTTCTCTGTTCCTGCTGAAGCCGTCGCCAAATTGTGGTTTTTGGGATACGATAAGCCACTGAAGCAGCTGCCTGAGACATTTTTCCCTGCAAGCAAGCCGTGAATGCTTCTTCGAGGCGCATTTTTTTTATATGCTCGTCTTCCGTTTAACGCTTTTTCCAAAATTATTCTGGTAATTTTCCTTGGTCCACTAATTTTGTCTTATCACGAAACAATGTTGTTTTTGGAATCTGAAAAACTTCTCGTAAATAAATAATGAAAATTAAATTAGCCGACATCTAAAAATTTTTTGAAATTTTTTTATATAAAAAATGATAATAAAAAATTTTGTTCATTTGAAAAACTATAAGTGCAATTTTTTAAAAATATTTTTTAGTTTTAATTAAATAAATTGAAAAAAATCAAAAACATCGGCTAACTTTAGTATTATAAAATCAAAATACAATGAATGTCATTAAAATTAACAGTCACTAGAATATTTTTTAATTATATTTAACAAAAAAATTTATTCCGAAAAATTATTTCAAAAAATTGCATTTTTAATTTATTAAAATTTTTACTTGTTAATTTTTTTTTTGCCATAATTTATTTGTTACAAAAATTAATAAATACCTGCTAAATTAATTTTTATAATATATTTTATAAAAGAGCTTTGTACCTCATGTAGAGTGTCGATCTGGCCGCTACATTATTTTTGGTAAATTGGTAAAAGCCTCAACTAAAGACAACCCCTGGCTCAAGTCATTCAATGCAGCTTCCATGTTCACAGGATTGTAATCTCTTTTGGGGTTCTCACGTTTGCGTTTTGTCTTGTTACCTTTTTCTTTCTCTGGTTTAACTTCTTCTTCCTTAACAGTACTCATATCTACTTCTTCAGTATATGTTACATCTTCAGCCTCATAATTTTCATTTTCATTTTCAATTTCCCAAGTATTTTCTACGACTTGATTAGACGCATTCAAAGAATTTATTAATTGATATTCATCTTCATTTGTAAAATCAGAGTCTGCTGTCTGAAACTGTGATTAAAAAAATCAATTGCTTGATTTAAAGTAATTGAAATTGCAATTGAATTATTATAAAAAAAAATTTCACATGTAAAAATTAAAAAAAAATTATTTGTGGAAATTTTTAGAAGCATTTTTTAAATTGATATTGACTTGTTATAAGAATTAAAAAAATTTACAGTTAATTTCAATATCATGAAAATTAAGTTAACCGACATTTAAAATTTTTTTTTATTTTATCAATCGGAAAAACTATAACAAAACAAAAATTTGAAAAACTATTAGTCCAATTTTTTATTTCTAATTTAATAAATGAAAAAAAAAAAAAAAAAAAAAAAAATAAAAAATCCCGACTAATTTTAGTATTCTTTAAATGATTCTGAAATTAAGAAACATTTGATAATTTTTAGAATTTTTTTAACAAATAAATTAAAGGAAGATAAATTTAATATATTGTATTATTATATTATTATTATTATTATTATTGATGATGATGATGCCAAAGCTATGATAATTCCTCGAAGAATTTTAAGTATGCTTCAATGCTTTTCTAAGAATTTTTTTATAAGACTAGAATTCAAATTTTCGCGCGCAACGCAAATTTTCGCGCGAGAATATAAAAGCTAGGGACGTTCTTCTACATTCAAATTAGTTATCACCATGGCGTCAAACTACAACGTGGACATGTTTGTTAGGCGAGGCGAGTGGTTTCCATACGAAGTCAGAAATTTAGACATAGGAAAGCCGCATTATGAATCGGGGACAACAATATACGAATTTATCGAATTTAGTGCAGACCCTCGAATTTGGATTCGTTTTAAAACCCAAATGATCAAGCTCAATGGATTTAAAATCATCGTCATCTACCTCGACAAGAGACTCGCACCAGGATATAACTCCAACCAGGAGTTTATCGCATCTTGGAGTCTAAATATCCAAAATGGAGCATCATTTGTTGGTCAACACATCTATGATGTAAAAAAACTTCCTTCCGGTTTTTTTTTAGTGTAATTTATTTTTTATAAAAAATTTACAGCTGTCAGCTAACTTCAGTGTTATTTATTTTGACAGTTTGTCGGTAAGTTTCCTACAGAAGAAATTGTAGTTTAATTCTTCCAAGAATAAAAAAAGAAACACAAAGTGGTGGTACAGTGAAACGTAAAAGTGTCTTCTGCGAGATAACGAAAGTAATATTAATAAATTAATTAAAAAATTAAATCAGAAATTTTTTAAATAATGATGGATCCAGATCCTTATAAAAATAACCCGACACAAAATTATCCAGCTCAAACTTTTCCGAGGCCAGATTCTGATGAAGTGCTTCAAAGGCAAATTGGCGATGCTCTGGTATATTAATTTAAAAATTAATAATATTTAATTATTCTTAATAAAAGAAATTATTTTTATTTAATAGAATTTACAATTGACAACCGAAGAAATGGCTGTCTTAAAAGAATGCCAGCATGACGCTGTTTTTCACCGAGGTCTACCGCTTGCAGCTGTTGCTACTGGTGGATTTCATTATATGATGAAAACTGGAATGATGAAGAAGAATGTTTATACATTGGTAGTAAGTGGTATCACCGGATTCTTCATTGGCACTGCGTCATACAGGTCTGTTTGTATGGAGAAGTTGATTGCCTTGCCAAATAGCACTTTGAAGGAGCGAATTTTGGCTGCTCAAGGAGTACAGCCGGTTAAGTAAGTCCAGTAATTAATTAAACAAATAAATTAATACATAAAAAAATAATACGGTGGTTTATCTTTATATTATCAGGGTTGATTTGCAATCGGATAGTCAGTTACAACCTTGGGTGGACGTTCAGCCTAATTGGGAAACTCATAATGCTCCAATGGGTTCTGCGCTAGATATTGAACCTTATCAATCTCATAATGAGTCTTATTCCTCCACCAACAATACTCCGGATCCTGGTAAATATCAATATAATTTAAAACTGTAATTCTTGACACTGAAATTACCAGACACTTGATAATTTTTTTTTAAATAAAAAATAAGTCTAGATAACTATTTTTAAAAAATTCTATATTAATTTTTTAAAGATATAAGCTCATCCTAATGTTACACTCATCAAGACCTTTCATTTGAGTACCCACATCAATTTTTTATATATTTTATATATTTATATATATGTATATATGAAAAATATATCAAAAATGGATGTGGGTACTCAAATGATATAATAGCTCTTGATGAGTGTAACATCGAAATGAGCTAATATCTTAAAAAATGTCAATAATTAAGAAATGACATTGTATCTTGTCAACTAATGACATTTTTAAAGATATAAACTCATCCTGACATTACACTCATCAAGACCTTTTATTTGAGTACCCACATCAATTTTTTATATATTTTATATATTTATATATATGTATATATGAAAAATATATCAAAAATGGATGTGGGTACTCAAATGAAAGCTCTTGATGAGTGTAACACCGGGATGAGCTTATATCTTTAAAAATGTCAATAATTAAGAAATGACATTGTATCTTGTCAATTAATGACATTTTTAAAGATATAAACTCATCCTGACATTACACTCATCAAGACCTTTCATTTGAGTACCCACATCAATTTTTTATATATTTCATATATTTATATATATATATATATATGAAAAATATATCAAAAATGGATGTGGGTACTCAAATGAAAGCTCTTGATGAGTGTAACACCGGGATGAGCTTATATCTTTAAAAATCTCAATAATTAAGAAAAAACAGTGCAATTTAACAAGTCATTATTTAAAAAAGCAAAATTTTTATTATTTAAAGTTCACAAGTCACGGAAGTTACATAGTGACTGCAATAGGTTACTTGTTTATTTAGTGAAGTTAACTGACATTAGAAATTTTTTTATAATTTTTAAATTAAATTATTATGAAAGATATTCCACATGTGAAAATTAAAAAAAAAATATTAATAGAAACTTTTTAAAGCATTTTTTTATTGTAATTAATTCTTATAAAAATTCTAAAAAAATTTGTCAGCTAAATTCAGTATCAATTTATTTAATATTAAAATTCTAAAATTTATCAGAGGTTTGTTAATTTCAGTACCATTGTAACTTATAACTAATTAAAAAAAAAAATAATTTATATTACTTTTAGAATCATCATACATATTAGATCCACCATTCAAATCACCACTTAGGGATAATTACACAAGTTACGACGAAATGCGGCGGAGAAATCGCGAGGAGTATGAAAGAGCTCAGGCTCAAAGAACCAGGTTTCAATTTTGTTTTATTAATCTTCAATATAATTATTATATAATTTAATATTAAATGTTGGACGTATTATCCAGGTCAGGTAGGCCTCAACCACCACCACCACCTCCACCATCTTCAACCGCATTTGACCCAAGATTCGACAGGCCTTATGAACCACCACCATATGATCCACCAAGGCGTGATGATTTTCTGTGATTCTTTCATCTGTAATACTTAATTTTTTTTCAGTAGTACTGTTTTTATATTCATTGGTACTTTGTACGTATGTATATTACATTAAAAAGCTTATTAAGCCACGATAATTAATTATTAATTTAATTAGTCTCACACAACTGTTGAGCTTAAAAAAATAGTCAGCATCGCAACAAGTAAATTTTTTTTTTATCAATATCTTTTAATTGAATAAACTAATGATTTACCTACGAGGGTAAATAATATACAAATTTAATAAAAAAAAATTATTTTTTTTCGCTACAAATGAGCAATAGATATTTTATACATATAACATCTTTCATTGTATTATTTTGTTCATATAATTAATATTTATAATTATTTTTTTTAATAAGTTTCATTTATTAATAATCAACCTAATTGGCCAGTACTTCAATTATTTCATTAACAACTCCTGATAATAATGAATTATTATCTCCTTTGCCTTCAATTATTAGGCAGGAAGAATTATCTGATGATTTCTGAAAAAATAATTTATTTATTTTAATTATAATTATAATAAATAACAAAAATTAATGATGCTGAAATTGGAAAACTTTTTATAATTTTTTTTAATTATTAAATTATTCAAAAAAAAAAATTATTAAAAAAATTGCATTTTTAGAAGATTTAAAAATTTAGAAATACAATTTTTTTAAAATAATTTTCTATATCTAATTTATATTATTAAGAGAGTAAGCAAAATTTTGTGGCCAGTGTATTTATATGATAAAATGAATTTTTTTAGTGAAACTTAGTGTCATTGAAAAGGTCTTGATTTGAATTTGTGCCATTGACATTTTTAAAGAAATAAGCTCATCCCGATGTTACATTCATCAAGACCTTTCATTTGAGTACCCACATCAATTTTCAAATATTTATATATAATATATATATATGTATATATGAAAAATATATCAAAAATGCATGTAGATACTCAAATGAAAGGTCTCGATGAGTGTAATATCAAGATAAGTTTATATTTTTAAAAATGTCAATAATTAAGAAATTACCTTATATCATGTGAACTATTGACATTTTTAAAGATATAAGTTCATCTTAATGTTACACTCATCAAGACCTTTCATTTGAGTACTCACATCAATTTTTCATATATTTTATATATTTATATATATTACATATATGTATATATGAATAATATATAAAAAATGCATGTGGGTACTCAAATGAAAGCTCTTATTGAGTGTGACATCGGGATGAGCTTATATCTCTAAAAATGTCAATAATTAAGAAATTATGTTGTATTTTGTCAACTACTGACATTTTTAGAAATATAAGCTCATTATGATATTACACTTATCAAGACCTTTCATTTGAGTACCCACATCAATTTTTCATATATTTATATATATCATACATATGTATATATGAAGAATATATCAAAAATGCATGTGGGTACTCAAATGAAAGCTCTTGATGAATGTAACATCATAATGAGCTTATATTTTAAAAAATGTCCATAGTTAAAAAAGTACAGTGCAATTTAACAAAAGTCATTATCTAATAAAGCAAAATTTTATTTATTTATAGCTTACTTGCACTGCAGTCACATAGTGACTGCAAGATTGCTAGTTTATTATTAAAAAAAAATTATCTTCCAATTTCAGTATCATAAAAATCCCTTAAAAAAAAAAAGAAAAAACTTACTTTTTTAACTAAAAGGCACACATGATGACCCTTTAGAGATTGCCCATAAAGCGAAGCATTGTCATCTACCTGTTCAACAAGAGTAAAATGACATCTCCGACAAATAATTTCCAAAGCCTGACTAAAGTTCCTCGTAAGTTTAACTTTATTCTTAGTCTTGAACATCAGTTGATCCCCACTGAGTAACTCCGTAAAAACATAACTATGCGACAAACTTCCCATCAAAAAACTGCAGTTTGAAAGCCTGAGAGTAAAGTCCAATTTTTCCTGAATCCACCCTCCAGAATTTTCCACCATATAAGTCAGCGCCCCTCTTAATTTCTGAGCATAAGTATCATCAGCCACAATAATCGGAAGATGAACTTCAGTGCTCGCGGAAGCAGCGAGCGGAACTCTAATCTTAATCCCCGACTCTTCTCCAAGACTCCTAACCAACTTCAGTGAAGATGCATCGGACACATCAAGGTCCAGTTCCTTGAGCAATTTATTCCCGCAATTACTCAACGTCACCACAGCAATTATCCTTCCAACCTCATGCGGCAGTTGCTTCAGCTCATAAGTCATCTTCACTTTATCATTACTCGCCAGTTCCAAGTACCCCTGAAACTCTGCAGAAATATCATTAATATTATCAATGATTTTTAATCAGGTCCAAGGGAATTATTAAATGTAATAAATTAGGTTGGTCAGACAACAAACGCAATGTTGACAATTATTTCACACTTTATTGCAATGTTTCGTGGAACATCCCGACTTCTTCAGACAATCTAAAAATACATACGTCCAATAAAGAAATTAATTCAATAACCATGTCAAATTAGAAATTGTCATAAAAGTCTTCAATTTATTATTACAATACATATCGCGCCCCAAATACCAAAAGTATGTATTACGGCAGCTATTAGAGAGAGTTTTATGCCGAAAGGGCGTATAAAAAAACCTTTAATTTTGCTCTGAAATATAAAATTTAACTCTAAAAAAAAATCCAGACCATTTAATATTGTTGAATTTCCCAAGAAGGTGTAGGAAATGCACCTTGATAATTTTTTTTTTTATTTCAGCTGGTGTTTTTATTTTTTAATTAAAATTATACTAGAAATTTAAATAGCGCTAAGCGCGTGCCTTAATTTCAATCAATAAGGAATTGTGGCCCGTTTTTTGCGAATTTCTATCTTTGACTAATTTCAAGACTTTCATGCATTTTAATTTGGAAGAAATAAAATTTGTATTAAAATTGTAATAATAACTTTTAAAAATACCTATTTGTAATTTAATAACCAATATATATTTTCAATTATGCAGTAAAATTAGTAACATATAACTCACAATTCAAAGCAATTGGCAAAAAAAATTATGCGCCCTTTTGGCTTTAGGTCACACTGATAAAAAATTTAACTTGGCTCAAGAGCAAGAATCCTAAACCAAAAACACCATTTTAAAGATGAATTTCTTGAAGCAAAAAAAAAAATTCTTAAACCAAGAAAATTTTCTCGACTCAAAAATTTTTCCTCTTGGCTCAAAAAATTAATTTTCTTCAAAATTGTGTTTTTGCTTCAAGATTCTTGCTCATGAGCCAAGTTAAATTTTTTATCAGTGCACTAAATTTTCAATGTCCTAAAACCAAAAAGGCGTATATAAATTGATATTCGTCCTTTTGGCATTTGGGTCGCGAATTGTCAACATTGCGTTTGCGGTCTGATCAACCTGATTTATACCAACTAACCATAAACATTACCCGAATCATTTCCACCTCTAATCTCATCACAATTGCTCGCAAGTCCCGGCAAGATTTCCTTAGAAGGCGTTGAAATCCCCGCGGTTTCCTCATAACCCGACGGCTTCTGTTTCTTCCCCTCCAAATGTTTCTTCTTGCGCCTCCTACTATCCTCCGCATCCTTTTTCTTCGCCTTAGACCTTTTAGACTTTCCCTTTTCATCACTATCTACCACCTTATCATTCTCCTTATCAACCGCATCATTCCCCAACCACAAGTCAATATTATTCAACCCATCATTTTGACTTCCTTTCTTACCCTTCTTCTTCTTCTTCTTAGCTCTCTCCTTCTCACCTTTTTTCTTCCCTCCCAGAACAGCCCTGTGCTCGGGAACAGGCAGCCTTTCATCCTCCCTCAACGGAACATCAAGATCAATATTAAGCGCGCGATGCGGATCATTAGCATCAGTAAGATTAGTGTCATCATTATCGCTCAATTCCGCCCCAGGCGGCAATTCACCCACCCCCGTATTAACAAAGTGCGTTGGATACCCACCATCCAAATCATCATCACTACTTGACTGGTTTTTATTCTTCTTAGACTTCTTCTTCTTTTTCCCATGCACCTTCCTGCGCTTCTTATCCACATCACTCAAATTAAGCAACTTGGAATTAGAAAATGAGTTTACCTTAAGCTCAACGGGAATATCTAATTCCGTGATAGGAATGTGATCATAATCCGAATTATTCTTAGGGCTGGCAGTAGTTTTTAAATAATGCGGATTGTTTTCTTGCTCTAATTTCCTAGCTTCGCGCCTTTTTTGCAATTCTTCAGCCGTTGGCTCAACCGAAACTTTCCTACCAGCGTATTCAGATTTTTCTGACTTAACAAAAATGTCATTCATGTCTAAATCTTCCTCATCAGAAGTCTCAGAAGGAGGATCATTGATCCAAGTGTCTAGATCTAATCCTTCAGGAATTGGAACCTTTTTTTGAGCTTTGGGTGCTACTGGGTTCAATTCTCCTTCAAAAGTCGCTGCTAGTTCAGGAATTAGTGCTGGATTTTCCTTCAGATAATCAAAAAGAATCAAAACGGCTGAAGAACGTTCTTGGACTTCTAGATCACCGCTGCAGACAAACTCAGCCATTTTGTCTTTTAGTTCAAAAATCTGATCAATTTTTTCTAGATCTTCCTCAACATAAGCTTTGTTTAAAGTGATAGCAGCTAGTTTTAGAATATTGTGGACGTAAACCGCCTGGATGTGTCCAGGAAGGCTAGAAGCCTGGGATTTAAGCATAGACTTCAAGGTAGCTATTGGGTCATCTAGCTCGCTGCAGAATTCACCGCAAATCCAAGCAGCCGCGTAGAGAACTTCGCACATTGTAGCTCTGGGTTGGCCGGTTAGCAAATGCGCGTTTTCAAGTAATAAGGCACATTGTTGGACTGCGCACTTTCGGATTGCTTGCACGCGAATTGCTACGTCTAACAATTGGGTTGCTACTAATTGTCCGTGTTTGGTACCTTCCATTCGGGTCAAGTCTACTAGGACGGAAATGTACCACTCGAAGTAAGTTATGAACTGGTAATTGTTCTGGGAACATATTTGGATTATTTTTGAGAGCAATTCGTCCCGATAAGTTGTTCCTTCGGCTTTGTCCATGTGGATCATTAATTTACGGACTATTTCCATTAGGTTTTTCTTGGAGACCATTCCGTATAATAGGTCCAAAGCGCGTAATCTAATACTCTCGTCTTTGTCGTCAAGGCACTGCATTATTAAATCTTTGTGCGCTTGAACGCTCTTAGGATGGGTTTTCAGGATTTTTGACATTGCTAAAAGGCCTAAGTATTTTAGATTTTGATCGGAGTCTTCGATTAGAATTCGTAGTTTTTGCACGCAGAGTTGGATTGAGTCGGAGTGGTTGGGCATTCCGGAGGATATTGATATTAACACGGCTATCACTGTGTTTATACACTCGTACAGCAGGGACATTGCTGAGGTACTGAAATTTGAGAGGTGGGTTAGTGGTTTTGTTTTTAGGGATTTTTTGAGGTAAAGAAGGGTGAGTTAGATAATGGATTATTAAATTATTATTAACTAGGCAACTAAGCTAGAGATGCGAATAAAGTTATAAAGAGTTTTAGAGCTAGTTAAAAAAAAAAAAATTACCTGTGTATTAAATTGGTCAAAGGTTCTATGAGCTTTTTTCCAAGCCTAGGTTCTAAGGGTGTCAATGCGCCAAACTGTAAATTAAGTTACGATTTTTTTAACACTAGCTAATTAAGGCAGGCTATAAATAGGGGTAGGAATTTTTTTTTTATTTTTTATGTTATATATTTTCAAATGACGATATTTAGGTTTGTTTAGTTTAGGATATTTAAATAAGCAGAGATCTGAATTTTTTTTAATTAAAAAATTACCTTGTATCTTGTGAAATGTTGACATTTTTTAAGATATAAGCTCATCATAATGTTACACTCATCGAGACCTTTCATTTGAGTACCCACATCAATTTTTCATATATTTTATATATTTATATATATCATATATATGCATATATGAAAAATATATGAAAAGTGCATGTGGGTACTCAAATGAAAGCTCTTGATGAGTGTAACATCGGGATGAGTTTATATTTTTAAAAATGTCAATAGTTAAGAAATTACCTTGTATCTCATGAAATATTGACATTTTTAAAGATATAAGCTCATCCCGATGTTACATTCATCAAGACCTTTCATTTGAGTACCTACATCAATTTTTTATATATTTATTTATTTATATGTATTATATATATATGTATATATGAAAAATATATCAAAAATTGATGTGGGTACTCAAATGAAAGCTCTTTTATCAAAATTCATTATTTAACAAAGCAAAATTTTATTTATTTATATATCACAAGTCACGACAGTCACATAGTGACTGCAAAGCTGCTATTTTTTTTTTAATTATGATAAATAAAAAAAAAAAAAAACATTTTTTTTTAATTTGCACTTGTAATTTTCTTAAAATTTTCAGATGAATTTTTTTTAATTCAAAATTTTTGATAACAATTTAGTTATAAAAATTCACAGATGGCTGTTAATTTTAGTCATTATAATTTTCTAGTCTATGATAGCGCTACAGTTACTTAAAATAATTTATTAAAGTCAAATTTTAATAAAATTAAATTAAAAAAATTTTTTACAATTAATTTACTTGTAATTAAAAAAAAAAAAATTACTTAATAAAGTCATTTGAAAATAATCCATCCTACAAAAATAAAATAACACAGTTGCCGAAAAATCAAAAGCGAAAAATTCAATAAAAAATTAATTTAATAAATATAATAAGCTAGCTCATCTAATATCAATTAAATTAACCTTGATATCAGATCAATGAGCGGTTGGGTCAATTGCCTGCCCAATTTTGGCTCGATCAGCGTTATCGTTGAAAACTGAATCAATAAAATGTATGTTAATAATAAATTATAAAATACTTTGCTTCGGTACCAAAACTTTGATAATTTTTAAAATAATAAATAATCCATTAAAAAAAAAAATAATTTAAATAAAAAAATAAATAAATAAGATTGATTTAAGAAGAAGAGTTTAAAAAATATTTACCAGTTTAATTATTTTAATGAGCATCCAGTTGTTGGTAGAAGTGGTCATGAGCTTAAAAAATATTGGCGCAAGGCTGAGATAATTTTTTGGATTTTTCCTAGCTAGCTCGCAGACGACATTTACTGCTGCGGACTGCACTCCACTGTCCGGGTCCTCGAGTTTTTCTTTTAGACGCGGAAATGCTGGACGCAGAGCCTCAGGGAAGCGCAGAAATACTTTATACATCATAAGAACGGCTTTTTTACGCAAATAAGGCTTTGTGCTGGTTAACAAGGTCATTATGTCGTTGACCAAGTCACGTGCCAGGTCAGGACTTATGAAACATGAGAGACCGCTCAAGGCTAGACCTGCATCATATTGATTCTGGCTGTTCAAATCTTTACGTATCATATTTGTTGTCAGCATCAGTAACTGAAATAAATAAATTGATAAAATAAATAAATAAATAAATAAATAAAAAATATTTTTAATTAATAAATTAATACCTCGGTGTCCATGTGAAAACTTTGACTGGCAGCAAGGTATCCAATCCGCTTGTAAGTGAATTTTCCGGATGACATCACTTCAATTATATTGAAACCAGCCCAGCTGATATCATATCCCAGCATTTGAAGCTATTTAATTAAATATAATAAAAGATTAGTATGTAAATAGCAACTTTGTAGTCACTAAGTGACTGCTGTGTACTTGTGAACTATAAATCAATAAAATTTTGCTTTATTAAATAATGACTTTGGTTAAATTCCACTGTACTTTTTTAAATATTGACTTTTTTAAAGATATAAGCTCATCTCGATGTTACACTCATCAAGAGCTTTCATTTAAGTACCCACATGCATTTTTTATATATTTTTCATATATACATATATATAATATATATAAATATATAAAATATATAATAAAATTGATGTGGGTACTCAAATGAAAGGTCACGATGAGTGTAACATCGGGATGAGCTTATATCTTCAAAAATATCGTAAGTTGACAAGATAGCATTGTTAGTTCTTAATTATTGACATTTTTAAAGGTATAAGCTCATCCCGATGTTACACTCATTGAGGCCTTTCATTTAAGTACCCACATGCATTTTTTATATATTTTTCATATATACATATATGTAATATATATAAATATATGAAAAATTGACGTGAGTATTCAAATGAAAGGTCTCAATAAGTGTAACATCGGGATGAGCTTATATCTCAAAAATATTAATATTTTAAAAGATATACGGTCATTTCTTAATTATTGACATTTTTAAAGATATAAGCTCATCCCGAGGTTACATTCATCAAGAGCTTTCATTTAAGTACCCACATGCATTTTTGATATATTTTTCATACATACATATATGTAATATATATAAATATATGAAAAATTGATGTGGGTACTCAAATAAAAGATCTTGATGAGTGTAATATCAGGGTGAGCTTATATCTTTAAAAATGTCATTAGTTGACAAGATACAAAGTTATTTCTTAATTATTGACATATTTAAAGATATAAGCTCATCCCGATGTTACACTCATCAAGAGTTTTTTGGACAAAAAATTTTTCTCATTCTCTTAATAATATAAATTTAAAATATAGTTTTCTTTTTTTTGGAGTTAGTTTATAATATATACATACGTATGTTAATTTAGCAACTGCATTAGCTTTCACAGCAACATTGTCTTGTCTTAATTCTTGCTTAATCTCTTCTATACACTGTGTTATGTATTTCGCCTGTAAAATAATCATTTTTTATTTTAGTTTTTTTAATTAAATTCAGCTCTCTCTTATTAATAATCAAAAATACAATTATATATAATATATATATGTATATAAATAACTGTTATTGATAAAGTTGCAATAATAAGAGCGACTAACTGTAATTATAGAAATTAATTTAATAATTTTTGTAATAAATAAATTATGATAAAAAAATTGACAAGTAGAAATTTAAAAAAGTAAAAAATGCAATTTTTTAAAAATAATTTCTTCGAAAAAATTTTTTTGTTAAATAAAATTAAAACCCACACAAGTAATTGTTTAATTTAATATAATGTAATTTAATAAATTTAATAATTACAATAAATTATTTTATAATTAAATAAAAAAGTGATTTCTCTGACTTTTTTTAATAAATAAATTACAATAAAAAATTTTTTAATTAATTCCAGATATAAAAATTTAAAAAAATGGTTCTTATAAATTAAAAAAAAAAAACAATTTATGTATAAAATAAAATTATAGTCTCAGATTTTGATTTAATCTTATTTCCATAAAATGTAAAATAATAATTATTATTTAAAAGATAAATAACTAAATTTAGGTTAAAAACTAATAATTACAAACAAATAAATTAAAATTACCTCATTATTTTTATTATTCCTGATCCCACGGACCAAGTCCGTAAGATTTTTATCAAACATCCTTTCAAAATTTCCTTTAACTTTTCTGAGAGCCATTATATCTCCAGCAATCACTGTGGTACTCCTCAAGTAAAATAACTTTGACGTTTAAAAAATAAAAACTTTATCTAGGTAAATAGTATCAGCATATATAATAGCTGATTCGAGTTTTCTGCACCACTTAGAAGGTCTCACTTTTAGCATCTGAACAGCTAAGCACTTGTACTACATATTCTCTGTGTATTAAATTGATAAAGGGACAGTTATATATCAAATTAGCGTTACTATGGACTAAATAAATATATACAAAAATAAAATAATAAACACATATCTATCAAACATGCTGAATAAGTGAATTACTCTCAGTACATGATCAACAATATTAAAATCACTTACCGATTTAATATATTTATTTATTTGGTTATCTGTCAATTTTGATAACAAAATTATTTTCACCAGCTGTTTTATGGATTTAATTTATGTGGGAGTATTATTATTTAAATACTCTGTACTTATTGATATAAACAGAGCAAAAGTAATGATAAATAAACCAATAAATTGTATTGGTAAATGATAACATTAATTACCAGCCGGTTTGTGAGAAATTTTTAATAGTTAGTTCAACAATTGTAGACAAGAAGAAACACCGAAAAAAAAAATAAGTTTATTTTATTTTTACATAAATCTCAGTCTCTTTTATCTCTCGTCTCTCTCAACATCTTCATAAGTATTAATACGCACTCACATTACAGTAACATTCACATATATATATAACATGTTTGCCATAATTCCTGTGAGAAATGTCAAGTTACTCTCTTTTTTATTAGTGACACGTCTTCAACTGCTGCTGATATTTTTAATAAGTTGGCAACACTTGTTTAGAGGTATGTATATATAATTCACTACTCACTTTTTTTTTTTTTATTATATAAATTACAATTATTATTATTAGTGATTTAGCTATTGTTATTATTTTTTTTTTGGGTCAACAACTGAACGTGGGTGCATGACAGCTGAGAGCTGGAGTTTATAAGTCACTTTGGAGTTACAATTATATTTTTTAATTTGAAAATTTGGAGTCTCTTTTTGTAAATTGTGACACTGAGGATTTGTTGCCATGGAAACTCATGAAGAAGATGATATTGATGAACTAATGTCTAATTTTTTCACATTTCCACCTGATGTCCAGGCTGTCATTGAACAGGTTATGATTATTTTATTTTATTAAATTGTAATTTATTTAATGACATTAAAGTATGAAAATAAATTTAGCCGACATCTAAAAATTTTTATAATTTTTTTTTATTTAAAAAATTATTATAAAAAAAAATTTTTTTTAAATTTTATTTGTAAAAAACTTGGAAAACTATAAGTGCAATTTTAAAAAAATGTTTTTTTGTTATAATTTAATAAATGAAAAAGAAAATTTTTAAATTTAAAACGTCGGCTAACTTTATTATTATAAAAATTTATGGTACTAAAGTTACCTGACGTTTTTTAATTTTTTGTTTTTGTTTTTAATAATTAAATTAGAACAAAAAAATATTTTTTAAAAATTGCGCTTACAGTTTTTAATGTTTTTTACAAATGAAAATTTTTTTTGTATCATATTTTTTCAATAAAAAAAAAATTAAAACGTTTTTAAATGTCGGCTAACTTCTGTATCATTAAAAAAAAAATGATTCATGAGTGTAACATCAGGATGAGCTTATATCTTTAAAAATTTCAATCATTAAGAAATGATCTTTTATTTTGTGAAATAATAACATTTTTAAAGATATAAGCTCATCTCGATAATATACTCATCAAGACCCTTCATTTGAGTACCCACATCATTTTTTCATATATTTTTCATATATACATATATGTAATATATATAAATATACAAAATATATGAAAAATTGATGTGAGTATTCAAATGAAAGGTCTCGATGAGTGTAATGTCGAGATGAGCTTATATCTTCAGAAATACCATTAGTTGACAAGATAGCAATGTAAGTTCTTAATTATTGACATTTTTAAAGATATAAGCTCATCCCGATGTTGCACACATCAAGAGCTTTCATTTGAGTACCCACATAGTATTTTTGATATATTTTTCATATATACATATATAATATATATAAATATATGAAAAATTGATGTGGGTATTCAAATGAAAGGTCTCGATGAGAGTAACATCGGGATGAGCTTACATCTTTAAAAATATCAATAATTAAGAAATTACCGTGCAATTTAACAAAAGTCATTATTTAATAAAGCAAAATTTTATTTATTTAAAATTCACAAGTCACGGCAGTCACATAGTGATCAAGGTTGCTAGTATTAATTATTAATAAATAGAATATTTTTTAATTCCTAATTTCTTAAAAAAAAAAATTTTTTTTAAATGAAAAATTGTCTTTTTAAATAATAATTTAATTAAGAGAATAATTAATAATAAATACTTCTCTTGCAGGTTCTTCCAAGTAATGATCCACTAGATCAACCAGACTTCAACGTAGTAGATTACATAAACCAACTGTTTCCAAACGAGCAATCATTATCAAACATCGACGACGTGATCAATGAATTCGAGTACAAGAAACGTTCAATAGACAAAGAAATCCGGTCAGTAGTTCGCGGGCAGACGAATGGGGACCAGGATGGCCGAGCAGCCTTGGAAGAGGCGCAAAAAACCATCAAGCAGCTGTTTGTCCAGATCAAAGAGATAAAAGCGAAAGCCGAGCAGTCTGAAGAGACTGTAAAAGAAATAACCCGTGACATAAAGCAGCTGGATTTTGCGAAGAGGAATCTTACGGCTTCAATAACTGCGCTCAATAAGCTCCACGTGCTTGTAGGCGAGGTGGACAGCTTAAGGATACTAACCGAGAAGAAACAGTACGGGGAAATAGTTCTTAAGTTGCAGGCTATCATGGAGGTGATGCAGTTCTTCAGCAAGTATATGGACATTCCTCAGATAAAAGAGCTGTCTGATGAAGTTAACCAGATAGAGATTGAGTTGGCTCAGCAGATAACTACCGACTTTAAAGAAGCCTTCTCTGGACAGAATCTCAAACATTTCACGCAATTGACTGAAGGCTGTCAAGTGCTTTCAGTCTTGGATCCTAAAGTTAAAAAAGATCTGCTGATTTGGTTTGTCAACGTTCAATTGCAGGTAATTAGAAAATTGACAGAAAAAAAATTTACTTTAATTAATTTTAAAATAAATTTTATTTTATAAAATAGATTTTAAATAAATTTAAAAATTTTTCATCTTGAGACAATTAAAGTTTTTAAAATTATTTTCTTGATTTAAGAATTTTTATATTGATTATTTTTTCTGTGTAAATAATATTAAAGTCATTAATGAAGAAATAATTTATATTATTAAAGATATAAGCTCATCCTGATGTTACACTCATCAAGAGCTTTTATTTGAGTACTCACATCAATTTTTCATATATTTATATATATTATATATATATATATATATATATATATATA